TGAGTTTTATTAGGATAAGCCTTCAATTCTATTCATTTGAGCCTTCAACTGAGAACATTATTTTCTAGTACTCACAACCAAAGTTTGCAATTTTCTTCTTCAACATAGCTAACATGGAACATGATGAAAAATAATTAAGCTCATAGTATAAAGATTGAAAATGTTGGACACACTGCTGATAATCTGAAGACTGAGACTGGAAACTCATGGAAAGAATAGATAAAAATGTTCGTTTGCAATGAATTAAAGATTTGGCAGCCAACTCTTTCAAAGAGAATGTCACCTGAAGCTATCGAAACATGTGAAAAAATAAAAATGATATTGAAAAAAACATCAATAGTGGTTGATGCAATAGTATTCAAAAAAAATTTAAAAAGATAAAACACAATACTAAACTCAAGGATATCAGAGTTATAGACGCAAGTGGGGTAATTTTTGTCTGCCAAACCAAAATAAAGGTACTGCAAAATTACAACTAGTCCCCCATCTAAATTTCGTCATTGAAAGTGTATTTAGCTGTTTACATGCAAGCAAAGATATCATCATTTTTTCTTTCGACAAAGACGGCAAAATCAAATGGACAGTGCAAAATCTACTCCTAAGATGCAAAGTAAGAGATTTCACCATAAAGTTTGAGATTGTGCGGGGATAAATGTGATCAAGATCCAAGGCTACCTTGTGCAGGATATGTGATTTATTGTAATTTCTTGCAAGAAGGAAACGAAAATAGGATTTAAAAAGCTAGATCTCTTTTAATGTAGTTGAGCAATTAACTATGAAAAGCATGGACACTTCAAAATTGGTGTTGTAGCCGTATTGGAAACCTATGGGATATGAACACAGAGGGGACACATGTCCGGCACACCTAATGGTGTGTCCATTTTTTAAATCTTTTTTTTTTCACTAGACACTGGGGCCACACTTCGAGACATGTCAAGGTCTCAGTTTTAATTTTCCAAAGCTAATTTAGAGGGTCATATCATAATATTTGAAAACATATGGACTGAATTTTAAAAAAATAATATTTATATAACTCATATCAAATCATTCACAATACAACACCGATCTAACCACAATTGCAAAGTTGAGAAACTAGCTTCTAACAATCCCTAAAGCCCTGTTAGCCACCTATGGGATATGGACACAGAGGGGACATATATCCGACACACCTAATGGCATGTCCATTCTTTTATCCCTTTTTTTTCCATCAAACACAGTGGGGGCACGCTTCGAGACATCTGTGCTTCATAGACGATAAAGTACTACTGTCAAATATAAGTGGTTTCCATTAGTTAGGACACTAGCACAAGTTTTAAGAGGTAATACTTACAAACATAGTTATCAAATCGGGATTCGAATTGTGAATCAAAATGGCTTCGTACCGAATCGCGAATCGAATCATGAATCGTAAAGATTCGGTCACTTTTTCTGTGTTACTTAGAAAAATATATCTACACTCTTGGATGTTAAATACATCTTATAAATATGAAATATTTAGACTTAAATCAATGAAAATGTTGTTTTTAATGATGGTCACATAGTTTAATAGGTAAGAAATTAACAAAGGTCCCTATGAAAGATCACCATCTTACCTTTTTCCTATTTTTTTGATATTTCTTATCAACAATTCTTAATAAAGATAGTAAACAAAAACAAAGTCTCAATTTCCAAAGTAACAATAATATTGATATTTAGACAATAAGCGTACATACTTTTCTAAGTAACAATGACCAAAATAACAAAATTACTTAGCATCTTTTATTTTAAAAGCCTAAAACATTTTAAAAAGTATAAGTGAAATCACCTGTGTAATATTCAACTATACTTAATTTAATAAAATAGTAGTAGATAATTCATGATGTAAGTTACCTTATTAATCTTAAAGCATATATATTATGATTTTTAACGGGGGGAAAAAAAATGAGAAGAAGGGTTAAAAACATGTTGAGTCTGACTAAATCTGATTGGGTCCTATTAAAAATTCCATGATCACTAAAATGACAACAAATCATATATATGTATTGGTTATTTTGATACTAAGCGCTATTAAAAGTTGTATTATGTCATTTTCAAGATAAAGGCAGAGAAAAAAATAGTCAAAAATATATCGGACACAATAGTTTCAAAAATTGCATGAATCGTAAAAAATGAATCGAATCGTGAATCGATTGTGAATCGTGCGATTCACTATAGATTCACTTCCAAAATAAATTCACCCATAGATCCGTATCGATTTTGCAAAAATTATTAATCGAATCGCGAATCATAAAATTCTGATAACAGGCTTATAAACCACTAGTCATTTAAGTGATTGATCATGATCACTAAAATAACAACAAATCATATATATATGTTGATTATTTTGGTATTAAATGTTATTAGAAGTTGTATTATGTCATTTTCACTAAAAAGATGGAAAAAATGAGTCGAAAATATGTCGAACACAATAATTTTAAAAATTGCATGAATCGTAAAAAGTGAATCGAATCGTGAATCGATTGTGAATCGTGCGATTCACTAGAGATTCACTTCCAAAATAGATTCACTCATAGATTCGTATCGATTTTGCAAAAATTACATATCGAATCGTGAATCGAATCGCGAATCGTAAGATTCTGATAACAGAGATACATACTTTTCTAAGTAACAATGACCAAAATAATAGAATTATTTAGCATCTTTTATTTTAAAAGCCTAAAACATTTTAAAAAGTATAAGTGAAATCACCCGTGTAATATTCAACTATACTTAATTTAATAAAATAGTAGTAGATAATTCATGGTGTAAGTTACCTTATTAATCTTAAAGCAGATATATTATGAATTTTAACGGGGAAAAAAAAATGAGAAGAAGGGTTAAAAACATGTTGAGTCCGACTAAATCTGATTGGGTCCTATTAAAAACTCCATGATCACTAAAATGACAACAAAATCATATATATGTATTGGTTATTTTGATACTAAGCGCTATTAAAAGTTGTTTTATGTCATTTTCACGATAAAGGCAGAGAAAAAAATAGTCAAAAATATATCGGACACAATAGTTTCAAAAATTGCATGAATTGTAAAAAGTGAATCAAATCGTGAATCGATTGTGAATCGTGCGATTCACTATAGATTCACTTCCAAAATAAATTCACCCATAGATCTGTATCGATTTTGCAAAAATTATTAATCGAATCGCGAATCATAAAATTCTGATAACAGGCTTATAAACCACTAGTCATTTAAGTGATTGATTGGAAGTCGTTTGTCATGTTGTAACTCACTTTTCACTTGCTTGTTATTGAAGTGACAGCTTATAAGCTGCTTATCTCCTGCTTGTAGGTTTCTTTATTACCAAGTCATTCATTATGAAGTAACCTCTTTATGTAGCCTATATATAAAATTATACTACCTCCCAAGAAAATACGGTTTGCAGATAATAAAATTTCAGGTTAAGGTTAGCAAATATCCTATTTCCATAACTTCTAAGGCTTAATTTTGATCCCCAGAGCTTATGGAATTCAAACATTGCTAAAAATTGCAGATAGCAGTCCTAAAATTTGATTTTTGCATAGTTTTCGATCTGATTCAAGTTTTAGTTGGCTCTACCTTCTTTTGTAGTTGTTGGAGCCTCAAACTGACTACATTCAATATATTAGCATCAACCACCTCGCTTCAATTGGCCACATTAAGTTTCAAAAGTTTCAAAAGAAGGAATAATCTTAAAAAGCATGCAGCACAATTTGAGCAACTCAACCACAAACTTGCCAGGCTCCTCCTGATTACCCCATTAGGTCAGCCCCAATTGCAATGGCTAATGTCCTACAGAATACTCTTCTACTGACCAAATGGAAATATAAGATACTTGATAATAGTAGGAGAGATACTTGATAATAGTAGGAGATCCATAATTATATGCTATTGTATCCATGAAGCAAAACAGATTAAACAGATAGATTTGTTCCATGAAAAAAATTGCCAGAACATTATTAGGCCTGGGAATGTAACCAAATTCCAATATACTGGCAGACTAGCCAAAGAGCAGATTGTCAAGAAAATTTGGGACATTCAGCTAGGGATATGATCCACCTGTATGGTAAAAGGAACTTATGGGCCATAACCTAATAGATCAATGTGTTGCAGTTTACTGCTGCCTGAAACTTCTCCCACAAAAGAGAAGTTAAGCATAAAAGTGAAGGCTACAAGGCTCTGTCAAATTCAGTTTAACAGATTTAAATTTGCATTTGGGATACCCCTCAAGACAGTAGATATTCCATTCCAATAATTTTCAACCATTTGAAAGCCAAGGGAGAAAAAATTGGAATCATGCGATATTATATTCATATTCATTTGCTAGACATGAGAAGTAAGGAAAATGATTTTCTGAATATTAATTTACTTCAAATGAGATTGTTGTGAAAGCAAAAACCAACAGATTTGGCTGCAAATAAACTAAACCAGTTTCCTTCATATTATTATGGAAGTTTGGGATTAGTTTTACTCATCATCTTACCAAACACATTGATATAGCCTCGTCAAACTAATGTAGTGCAGCCTGAAATTTCTCTAACGAATAGAGGGGGGAAATGAGAAAATGAAGGTTATAAAGCTCTGTTGAGTTAAAGTTAAATTGGATGCTTTGGAATAATGCCAAAGATTCCACAACCAAAAGGAAGAGAAAGGTTATACTTGTGCTAAAACATAGTGCTTGTTACAAAGCCAGACAAGAAAACTCAACTAAACAATTATAAAAAAATAAAAAAAAAACTCGTAACAGTTTACTTTTTTTTTCTTTTCTTTTCTTTTCTTTTGTTACTCATTGGAACTTTGTTTCTACAGATTTCTTAATCTCCCATATCAAAACAAACAAAGAATAATAACAATAAGAAAAAAATTGAATAAATTTCAGAATGGTTGCATTCAAATCATTAACAATTCATGTACAAGAAAAATAATGTGATCAATTAAGAATTGGGTATAAAAATAGAAATTGCATAATAAAGTAGTCGAATAAACCTTTTAAAGAAAGCAACAGCAGACACGGTCACAGAAGAATTTAATTGAAGAGGCCCATCCCAGAGCTTTTCAGAAACAACTGAAGCTGCTTTTCCAAGATGTGATTTACTCTTTTCATCTGGTCCACTCTTCTGACCATTCTCAACAATGTTAGCAGGACTAGCAGTTTTAGATGAAGACTCCTCCGGTAAGGGATGCTTCAAATTCATCATATCTGATGCTTCTGTCTTCTCCTTTATTTTGACAGAGCCATCCCCAAGGCTTTGTTCTTCAGTTTCAAATTTTTTTCCTAAACAAGCACCCAAAGACCCACTGCTGCCAAATTGCACTTCATTTTGCAACAAACTAATGTTTCGATTTTGTTCAATGCAAAGTGAAGATCCCAGAGAGGCTGCTTCTATGGTCGGGACATAGTTAATTGCCCCATTGATTGTGCAGTGACTACTTTGTCTCAATTCATAAGAGATTTCAGACTCTTTGTTTTCCTGAGAACATGTTCTTCTATCCATATCATCAGAATGTCCCTTGGGCTTAAGAAAACTCTGTTGCAAGATTTCCGCACTCACACTTTTTGATGGTGTATTGCACATTCCCAGTGCCATTTGGTCTGTGACATGATTCTTGATCCCGAAGCTCATTAGCTCCTCAAAATGAGAAGCACCTTGAACTTTTCCGGTATGTGCATCAAATGGTTTCGAAAAGGGAAAGGATGTATAACCTTCACTTAGGCCTAACATATTATGTGCCTGAGGTTGCCAATTTGATACCACAACAGACTCCCCAGCCTGCATATCGAATGAGTCAAAAGATCCTTTGTATTCTAAAGGATGAGGAGGAACATGTGAAAAAGCATTGCTCATATTTTTTGATCCATTTCCATGGAAATTCTCATTACTAGTCATCCAAGAACCTGAATAGCAATTCTGATGATGAAAATGATCGTTCTCAAATTGATGCCTGGAAGTTGTTGGTTCAATTGCCTTTGTTTGGTTTAAACACAAACCATGAATATTCTCTTCTACTTGTGCCCCTGAAAGCAAATTAGCCTGTTGTGCATTTGACTTCCAAGGACTGCAATATTGAAAATTTGATTCAGATATGGCACCTGGCTGATCCATGAGTGTTGATTTCCTTTTTCTTGATGATCCACCAAGAGAATCTACATCAAAATTCCCAGAGGGAGGTCTAAGTATTCTGTTCTCCGTGTGATCACCCTGAAACCTTTGAGGAGGGCAAGTCTGACCAGGTAACATTACATTCTCTTGTTTCTCATGCCGCATATCTTCAAAATAAAATCCCTGCCAAGCTTCATCAGCTACAAGCAACCATGCCGATCTAGGTTAACGGATGACCTGAAACCTGTAAAAAGAATATCACCACCAATCAATGGCAACTAAACAAAAATTTGACTATCACACAGCTATAGAAGAAGTTACCACTGTGCTGGAACTACTTACAATCTTTTTTGCAAAGGCTAATATTTTTTCTTCCATCGACTAATAAAAATTTTATAATGTGAATAAGATCTTGATCATGTTTATGTTTGGGTAGTACAAATTAAAATTTACCCCATGAACCTAAACTGACAACCTTTTTCTAATGTTTGTTAGTAAATAAAATAATCAACAGAAATTGCTGCTCATGAAAATAACTTAGCCGATGGGTCCTCTATAGGTCTTTCAGGTTGAAGATTATCTTCACGACTTCACCCGGGTTTCAAAACATGACTCTTAACTTCATCATTTGGAAAAAATCATACTTTATTTCCATCAACTATTGGGGGCATGTTGGTATTTGGGTAAGTGCTCAATAACTACATAAGTAATCCCCAAAATCCAACACCTTTCGTCAATGAAACCGACTCGATGTTACTCCTACAACTATAACACTGGATTCTCTTGTTTCCTCGCCATCTATAAATCCCAACAAACAATTCCCTTTTGGTTGAGTAACACTCAACATTTACCGTTAATAACCGAAGAAGAGCCCCAAGCTCAGGAATAGAACTCTACCAAATCAAGCCCCTGTCATTCCAAAACCTTTTCCCTGCACTTTGACCTGTGATTTAAAAACAAACCATCTAAACTAGCTGTTTTTCCAGAGAATTCCAGCCTCTTCACTGCAAATCCAGGAAGTCCTTTCAATAACCCAACCCAATCTCCAACCAATTTGTCTATAAACCCTAAAAACTTTCTTCTACCTATTTATTAGAACTCTAGACCTAAAAAACTTAAACCCGTCAATGAAATCAACCATAGACAGCCTCCATCAAAATTTCCTAAACCTATCTTACATCAATGTTGTTTGTCTAGTCTCATTTATTTCTTCCACAGACATCAAATGTTGTAAAGTATTGCGCATATAAGACATATAGCTAAAACTTTTATAAGAAATAACGACGACAAATTACATCTTCCACACAGATTCCATACAAACAACTGATACTTCTTCCCCGTCCCCTCTCCCCGCCCTTCTTTTTTGGTGCCAAGCAACAACAAACTGCACTGTAAATTAGCTAACTAGCACCTAAATATTCCATTCCCTTCAGGTGGTAGTTTTACACTGAACGAGGCAGCCCACCAAGTATTTTCACACTTCAAGTTGGGGGTTTGATCCATCAATATAAACATGAAAGGTGCCAAAGTTTCAAACTGATCCTCTTGGACCTCTGGACTCATTGTCTAGCATACTATTAATAAAACACTGATACTCGTAACATTTTGCTTTCATAGACTATTTACTTCAAATTTAATGCTTTCATGCATGGTGGTTAGAATCATATGATTCACAATTCAATTCATATGATTCGATATGAGTTTCAACAAAAACAATTTCAATCATGCTGTTGAATCGAAAATTGAGTGAATCGTGCGATTCAATTTACTATTCATTGTGATTCACTATGATTGATTCATTACGATTCACACGATTCAAATATATTTCTATTTTTGTTTACATAATACATGAAAGAACGTTGTTTTCGCCAAACTATGAAAATATATAGAAGAGATTAATTAGTTATATTGATATACATGATTTTATATGTATATACATATATATAATTGAGTCATATTGATAATTTACTTTATTTTAAACGTTGAATGTATTTTTATATGTATATAAATATATAGAATTATATATCATATTAAATGAAATGAATCTTACGATTCACTATCCTAACAAAACGATTCACGATTTTTTTTTTTTTTTTTTACACTAAACGATTCATGATTAAATTCAAAATTTGACAATAATGCTTTCATGTATAGAATATTAGGTCAGGAAACGGAAGACCTTTAAACAAATTCTACTTTGATAAAGCATAATATTATGAAAAGGAGAATATTATGAACAATGTTAGTGAAAGCGTGAGGTGCATTTAAGTGCTAAGACCTCCTGGAGCCTAGTGTCATGGCCTTAGACTTCGCAAGCCTACCGTGCGGCCTTAGATGCTTTTCAACCCTCTTGGTTGCACCTAAGTCAGCCTTACCCACTCAACCACACTAACACACACAGTTTAGGTGGAAGAATGCCTTCACTATACAAGTTAACTTTACAAGTATAGTCGTGTACAAAGCTTTCAAGACTCTCACACTCACACTCACAAGTGCTTCACTCTTAGAGCTCTCTTGGATCTCCAGGTCTCTAGGTGCCTAGCAAATGAGACCCCTCACCCTTATATAGCCATACCCCTCCTCAATGGACGGCTAGGATCATTTTGATCCAACGGCTACAAACTCTCATCTAGAACACTCCATAGAACTATCTAGGACAACTACCCCTTCTACTACAATCTAGAACTCTTTTACACTAGTGTAGTACATGGTAGGCCTCTCCAGAATAATCTAGGATGTTCCAGACCCATCCAGACTCCTCTGGACACTCTAAGGTTCTTCCACGTTCTGGAATCTTCCAGGCCACTCCGGACCCTTCCACCATGTTCTAGAGTCTTCCAGCATACTCTAGCCCGTTCTCGCTCCTTTCGGAACCTTCCAGCGCATTTGGCCACTTCAAATGCTGCCCTTCGTGTCACATAATTTCTCGGGGCGTGACACTAGGCACAAAGCATGAGCGCACACATGATTGCAGAAAGCACACTTTAAAAAAAATAATGTATCACCATAAAAAAGTTTTAAAAATCAATTAGCAAATATATTTATCCTTACAACTAAAATTGTTGGTTTTATGTAATTGTACAAAGGTTGTAGGTGCAAATTTTACATTGGCTTGTTCAATTTTTTAAAAATCTACATAAATTTGATAACAATTATTAATGGATAATATGAAAATCAAGACTAGTGTGATCATATAACATATAACATAGCCTTTGAATAGTTTCTCTTGTTTACAAAATATTCACAACCATGATATTTGATAGCCATGATCAAATAAAGTACATGTTAAATCAAAATATACCCAAAATGCAAAGACCAAAAAGCACTAGAATGGTGTTTGTTATCATATCATAATACTGGTATTGTATCATAACATAACATTGGTATTTGTATAACAAATCAATGGCCTATTCATATTTGTCCAAAAAAATAAAAATAAAAATAAAAATAAAAAATAAAAAATTCAACAGCCTATTCATATAAAGGTTATAATAAATAAATTATATATTTTTTCAAAACGAAAAATATATATAAAAGAACTTCTTTTAACTACTAAAAGCGCTTTGCTGGTGTGTTTTAAGTGCATTTTACCAACATTGACTACAAATTGATTGAAAGACCATCCATATTACGATGGCGACATGTTTGGGGAAAGAATGTAGGTGGTGAAACAAGGGAAAAGAGTTCGCCGCTTGGTTCATCTACTTGGCCAGGAGCCTGGGTGGGTATGTGAAATGATGAGGGCTGTTGTGAAAAGGATTGGGGAAAGGCTTTCAGGGAAGCATAGGGCTGAACAAGGAGGTGTTGTGTATGAACCATTACAATTGATAGGGGGAGCATAGATGTTGTTGTGGAAGTTGTGGAGGATAAGAGGAAGAGTAAGTGCTCATCTTCCTAGAGCATAGGAGGTGAAAGAGTGGGGTAGTGTGGTTAGGGCATTGGAGGAGTTCAGCAATTGTTGTCAAAGGCAAGGCTCAACTTCTTTTATTAGTTCCAAGATGATTTGGAGACCAATCCAAAAGAGGAGATGAGCAAGACTAGTGGACTAGAGAACGGTGTATCTGTAGACTGCCCAAAAAAGGAAAGGTCCAGCACGCCAAGTAAGTCTTCAAACTTAATCAAAAAGGGTTGGCATTCGGAGTTATCCATCTTCTTTTGGGCTACACTCTAAAAAGTGTGTTTCTATTATGAGTCATTAGTGCAGAGGTAAGGACGTGTATTCTAGTGGCCAAGACAAAGATGTAGGAGAAAAGGAGAGGAGCGTAAGGGGTTGGCATGATCGGCATGTGGGTGGTTGCTCAAATGGCATTGATGAGCTGGTGAATTATAGCCAATAAAGGAGTAATTGGGGATTTATGGATAGCGAGGAGAGGGGCATAATGGAGGCTGATGATTATTCTGTTGTAAGGGTATATGGAGTGGGTGACGGGAAAAGTGAGTGGGAGTAGTTTTCTAGGGCAAGGGCTATGCCAAAGAAGGGTGCTGTGATGGTTCCTGTCGATTGGACCCCCATAACATTTAGTAGACCAAAAAGGGGAGGTGATTTAAAGGTTGTGCAAGGTGGTCTAATGCAAATTCCTGAGGATGGAAATCCAGAGGTGGGTCCTAGATTGGGTCGTCAAAAAAGTGAAAAGGTTTATTCAAATACTTGGGAGTTTCCTATGAAGGTTACAAGCAAGATGTGATGAAATTGTTATAGGATGGAGGTCTCAGACCAAGTAACACGTGCAGTGAACAGGGGCTAGCTCAAGCTCTCAAATTTAACAAACAATTTTAGCCATGAGCCTGGAAATCAACTCATATAAATTTGATCCAGATATTTGCTAGAAGAGAGCTGGATGCCTGAATACCCTCTCTCTATTGTGGAGCATCTTGGTTTTAGGAAATATTCAACACCACTTCAACCTTTGTTTAAGATACCCTTTCAAACCACATAAAGAATGATATTTTTGAACATTTATGCCTATGAAACAGTGTAGACAACGAGTTTGGAGGAGAGCCATCAAAATAGAGTGGGCATCACAAATGATATGTGGACTTCTACTGATCAAAATTAAAGGTACATGTCTATCATGACAATTTATTGATGATTTTTAGTCATTACAAAGAGCTTATAAAAGGGAGTTGATAATTAGAAAGTAAAATCTAAAACATACATTCCCAACTTTCCAATAAGAACCTTTTTAAATTTAATTTATGTCATTTTAGCCTCATAACGTAAGCAAAAGTTGCATCAAACACACT